GTCAAAACCCACAGCTACAATGACTCGCCAACGTTGTCGTGCATCATCACCACCAACGACGCAACAGCACCACGTATCGTCGAGTGATGCATTCACTACTCGTTTGAATATTGTCATGGCGCTAGACTACTCGGCAGCGACCGGGGCGCTCACAAACGAAGCGACGGCAGCGGCGATCTCGCGGCGCGCCCAGCGCATGTGGCCCGAGTCAGTCGTTGCGTTGGGCGCGTGCATATCGGCGCAGTGGGCCGTGCCTTCGATGAAGATCGGGCGCGCCGACTTGGTGTTCATGTGCGTTGCGTTTTGGACGGCGAGCGCATGCCACGGGTCGATGGTGCCGCTGGGAAAGACGACGTGGTCGACCGTTATGTCGAGCGACCCGTAGCCAACGTTGGTGCCGAGCGTGTCTGGGTGCGCGTTGATCTGGAAGACGCGCTTGCACACTTCGAGGCCGACGTTCTGGAGCGTCTGCGTTTTGAGCGGCCAGAACGGCGACTGGTTCGACTCGGCGGTTTGAAAGTACCCAAACTCGTTGCACGTCTGGTAAAACCATTGGCGGCTCGAGCTCGTGCCATCAAACTTGGTTTCGCTGAGCACCTCGATTGTGCCGTTGGCCGTGCCTTCAAAGTTCGAGTCGAGACACGGCTTGGTCGACGCTGTCTTGACAAACGCGACGAGCTGCGCGAGCGAGTCGTTGCCCTTTGCAAAGATGTTGCAGACGTCCGTGAGCGTCGGGCCCGCGTAAATCGCATTGTACTGGGACACGCCCTGGAAGAGCGACATGACGGACGACTCAAACACTGAGTCGTCAAACTCGTTCTTCATCGGCGCGCACGGGTGGAAGAGTTCGTTGAGCTTTTGCCGACCTTCGCGGCCGCCGTCGAGAAGGCTGTGGAGGGCCACCATGGCCTGCTCGACCGCGCGGTAGCACTCGCCACCGCCAAAGTACCGAAGACCGTTCCCGACAACTTCCATGTACTCGGGAAAGTTCTCTTTGGCCCAGAGCGGCGCCGAGCTTGCGACGCTGCCGGCGACGAGCGACGGGTACTTCAGCTTGAACCACGCAGCGAGCGCACCCGGATAGCTGCCGCCGAACGCGACCCACTTGCTTCGGCCGAGGCCGTAGACGCCCGTGAGGTAGTGGTGGATGCGAGCGAGGTCAAAGAGCGCCTGAGAAACTACATGAGCAAGGGGCGTGCGAAGCCAAACAAAGTACCTGCTGGCTCGAGAGGTACTGCAAATTCGTCGTACTCATGTCGGGCGTCGGGTACGACTTGCCATAGAAGCGGTGCTCGACCGCCACCATGAGCGCACGGTGCGACTTGGCGAGCGTGTAAATGTAGTTGCGGCTCGAGAGCGCCGACGCCGAGAGCGGGCCTTCACCGCCAATGTACAGAAAGACCGGGTAGCCCTCACCCGCCCAGAACTCGTCGTTCACAAAGTAGCGCTGGTTCCAGTGCTTGCGCGCCGCGACGGGCGCAAAGTGGTCGAGGACCGCCTCGGTGTAGTTGTGCTCGGTCACGGCCGGGATCCAGTTGTTGTCCGGGTCGTACTGGATGTGATGGGCGTGGCCGCGGAAGCTCTCGAGGTGGTGGCGCGTCGCATCAACCGATGTGAGCGCGCAGAGGATGCTCAGCGCGAGAACTGAGAGGCAGGCCATGTCGTTGTCGTCTTGCCGATCGCCAAATGACACTCATGACCTCGCCCGGCTCCAACTCAATGAAAAGTGCAATTGAGTCTCGATACTAAGTGCTTGTATACTCTGGGGGCAACATTGAGTTTGAACGCGACCGATTGGCCAGCTGCGTTGAAGTAGCCAAGCGACCATGTGGTACGGATGGCAGCGATCTTTCCGGCGCGTTGCCACCACACGTTTGACCGACGACCGGACAAGCGCTATACTACGGAGCTGCGTCGGACGAGTGACGTGGTGATGACTCAGTAGCATGTTCGATGCTTTTTTCAAATCGGAAAACGGCGTTGAGACGCCGTGGACGTCACCGTTGAATATCCATTCCAATTTGGCTTCGACTCAGTTCACGCACCTTCCAGTGCACCTTCCACACATTCTGGAGTCAACGCGCGACCGCTCACCATACGGGGTTTTGAGATTGAGTTTGGAGGTCGCGGGCGATGATCCGAGTGTGCTGTCCGTTGAGCCCTGCGCTGAGAAATGACACAATGCGGAGGCATCCGAGGATCGAGGATGACTGCATGCTACCACACTCTGCCAGACTCGGCCAACGTCACTTCTCGTCGACCAGTATGCGCTCCATCGAAATGCTGCTCCACACGCAGGTGCGCGGCTCGAAGCCCATCGCCGTTGAGGTCGTGCTGACGTTGCATGGAGCCAACCTGCTATACACGAGTCGCGCTATGTGAAGCGCTGCTGCCCAAGCTCTCGATGGTTCGTATCGGTCGGAGCTGGTGATTTGCGCCGATGACGCGAGGCCACGTGATTTCAACGCGGGCGCGTAAATTTGGCTATGCGTGGTATATATGGCTGCTATTTGGTTATTTGTGGCAGTGTGGTCTGTTGCGATCTTGCCGCATCCGGATACGGCGGCACTTGAACTTGGGGTGTTGAGTAAACTGCTGTGTCGAGTCGAACTGGCGGCGGATCCTCGGACGCACTTCTCAATCTCGCACCTCGCAGCATGAGCAACATCTTTGTCGTCGCGGCCAAGCGCACGCCCTTTGGCGCCTTTGGCGGCAAGTTCAAGTCGGTCTCGGCCACGGACCTCTGTGCGCACGCGACCAAGGCGGCGCTGCAGTCGGCCAACCTCGACCCGAAGCTCGTTGACACGGTCATTGTCGGCAACGTTGCTCAGACGTCCAAGGACGCTGCGTACATTGCGCGCCACGTCCAGCTCAAGGCGGGCATGTCGATTGAGAAGCCGGCGCTCACGATCAACCGCCTCTGCGGCTCGGGCTTCCAGAGCATCATCAACGGCATGCAGGAGATCCAGCTCGGCGACGCGTCGATCGCGGTCTGCGGCGGCGCGGAAAACATGTCGCAGGCGCCGCTCGTGGCCTATGGCGACAAGGCGCGCTTCGGCGTCGGTCTCGGCGCGGGCTTAAACCTCGAGGACTCGCTCTGGTCGGCGCTCACCGACTCGTACGCCAAGTGCGCGATGGGTATCACGGCCGAGAACCTCGGCGCCAAGTTTGACATTACGCGCGAGCAGTGCGACGAGTTTGCACTGCGCTCGCAGACGCTCTGGGCCAAGGCCAACGAGGCCGGCGTCTTCAAGGACGAGATGGCGCCCTTCGAGATCAAGGTCAAGGGCAAGATGGAGACGGTCGACACGGACGAGCACCCGCGTGGCACGACGCTCGAGAAGCTCGCCAAGCTCAAGCCCGTCTTTAAGGAAAACGGCCTCGTCTCGGCCGGTAACGCGTCGGGTATCTCGGACGGCGCCGGTTCGGTCGTCCTCGCCAGCGAGGAGGCGGTCAAGAAGTACGGCCTCAAGCCGCTTGCGCGCGTCGTCTCGTACGGCGTCGTCGGCGTCGACCCGTCCATCATGGGCATCGGCCCGGTCCCGGCCATTGAGCAGGCGCTCAAGCGCGCCAACTTGAAGTTCGACGACATTGGCCTCGTCGAAATCAACGAGGCGTTTGCGGCCCAGTACCTCTCGTGCATGAAGGCGCTCGGCGCCGACCCGGAGAAGGGCAACCTCAACGGCGGTGCCATCGCGCTTGGCCACCCGCTCGGCGCGTCCGGCTCGCGCATCATGGCACACCTCACGCACGCGCTCCCGCGTTCGGGCTCCAAGTACGGCATTGGCGCGGCTTGCATTGGCGGCGGCCAGGGCATTGCCATCATCTTGGAAAACGTCCAGTAAATCCATGTCTTGTATACGCTTGCCGATCGCAGCATGTGGTGGGATCCAGTGGGCTGGCGCGTGGCTAGTTCGTAGCAGTGGTCGGCAAAGACTATCACACTCTACGTCAATACCGGCATCTTGATAGCGCAGAGGGGACGTCCGAAACCAAGTGCATCACGGCGGAACAGCGACGACATCAGGGACCAAAGCCGAAGTAAAGGTGCTGCACCGGCTTTCGTGTTGCAGAATTGTTGCTTCCGTGTCTGTCTCAACGTGGCATTATTGTTCTGTTGGGATTATGTATCAAGGTTTCAGTTCGGTTTCATGTTTCCAGTCGACAGGTTGTAGTCAAACATTCCGCTATTCTTGGCGCTGTTCGGGCGAAAGGGAGCCGACCAGGGTGCCGACGGCATGAACGCAACGCCGTGCGCTTGCTCACGGTCGACCGCCGCCGGCTTCTCAACGACCGTTTGCTGCGCGGCGCTCATTCGCAGCTCGGCGTGGTCGTGCTGCGGCCAAGCCTACTATCACTACATTGCACCGAGCCTCCTCTGGGCTGTCTTTCTTGGCTTGACGATATATGCCCAGCTGCGCCACGATCTCTTTCGCGACTTTGGCCGGTCCGCCCACGAGCTCCACGACATTCAAACCCAAGGTACCTCCCTCCCAGCAAGCCGTGGTGCTCAGTGGATGCAATAGCGCTTGGCGTCGTCGTCGCAAGACGGAAACGAGTCATATTTGGCAAGCCCGTGCACGACCCGCGGCGCGGTCTCATGCTCGGCGCCATGTGGGTCGAGTTGGGTGGGTTCAGCTACTGCCCGCTACAACTGCTCCAGTACCAGCTCTGGGCTGGCTCGCAGATCGGCCACTTGAATGGCGACCTCCAAGTCGCGCTCTTCACCGTCTTGATATGCCTCTTGCTGCTGTCATCCCTTCCGTCACAGGGCGAGCACCACCGCTGGGACCGTCCGCTCAAAGTATCTCGGTCGTTCCTCTTTGACTTTGGCTTTATGACGTTTGTGTTTACGACGCTGAACGTCGCGGGCTGCACCAACGGCGTCGACGACGTGCGTCTCGGGTCGAGCCTCACGTGCGCGAGCCCGTTGACGTACTGGATCGTGCTCCCGCTCGGGATCGCTGTCTTTGGCTGGCTCTACTACAGTACGCGTCCTTCTTCTTACATAGTCGTTGATGCACCCATTAGGCACATTATTGTACAAGAAACAGCTCGCCTCGGATGTCTACGCCGTGAGCTTTCGCTTCCAACCATCGTTCGATGCAATCATGGCCGTCACGCGCACGCGTACGTCCAGTGAACTGCGGTTGCAACTCAAAATGAGCACATCTAGTCGGTGGGTTGAGCCTCTTTACGGTTGAAAAATGTCTCCTCGTGCTCGACGCGTGGTGCGTCTCGGTCGTGCTGAGTCTTTTGTACCTCGTGTACTTTGGCGCGCTCCTCCGGCACAACTACAAGTGCCAACCCGTACGTGGTTGGATATCATTTTGATCCATTTTCATATGTTTCCTAGTGCTTAGGGGTCGGATATTTCCCCAACAACTTGCGCGCCGTGTCTTTTGCAACGTCGTGCTATACGGCCATCGTGCTCCTCCTTGTGTCGCTCATCCAGCTCTATCGACACCACGAAGGTGCCGATACGCCCGAGTGGACGCTCGTGCTTCTTGCGCTCGGCGCGTACCCTGGCGTGGTGATTTTCATCTGGCGCTGGAATGGCCGACGCGCACGTATGTTTCAAGTGCCGAATGTACCGCTGCTCGACGGGCTTGCGCACGAGACGGACCGTGTCCGCGCGATCGCTGCCGTCAGCGTCACGCTCGAGATTGGCACGCGCGACCCCGCGACGCTGAAAGCCATCATCTTGGCGCTGGACGCGACGCTCCGTCGGCACGATATGGTGGTGGCGCCGGCGTATGCGTGCCAAGCACTGTGGTTTCTGTGGCAGAGCCATTTTGACCTTGTCGACAGCATCTCGGAGAGTACGTCCGACCCGATCGTGCCGTCGGGTGCGTGGGCACGCCTTCTGGGGCAAGTTGCAAGCCGGGGAAGCATTCTCAATGCCAGCGGCAGGTTGCAGGTGGCGCATACCCAGTCCAGGCGGCGGCTCAGTACGATTCGACTGGGATCCGTGAGCAGCTCTGTGCTCATTGAACTGGTCGAAAAGTCGCTGGACGTCACCCCGGCTTTCCCAGGCGCCTCGCCAAACCGGATCACGGCCGACCTCGACGTATTTGCATGCTTCGAACACGTCCTTGCCAAGCTCGCAGACCTCACGTGGAGCGCGTCGCGCGACGCACGGTTCCTTGCGAGCAAGGTGCTCCACGAGATGTACCAGGCAAACGTCGTTCGACTCGGGGCACGCACCTTCTTTCGCATGGCGGTGGCGCTCACGACCGTGCCACTGCATGCCAAGGCATATGCCGCCGCCAAGACACTTGCCAAGCTCTCGCGAAGCCACAGTGACGGCTGGATCGCGTGGCTCGTCGCTGACGACGCGCATACCCTTGGGACGCTTGTCGATGCGCTGCGACTGCACGTCGACGACGTGGATTTCTTGCAAGAGCTCCTGCCGTTTCTGCTCCGCGTGCTCCGAACCCTCTTGACGCTCGGCATGAAAGGCCCCAATCCGACTACGTACATTTCAAAGTCGGTGGCCGCGACGTTGCTCGAGCTCCACTTCGCGCCGCTCCCGACCGAGATTGCTATCCTCGTCGACGATGTGCTCTTTGCGCTGCTTCAAGTTTGGGACAGTCGAAAACCATCGGCCAACACGGGGCGGCGGTCGTCCAAAGCCCGCATCCTCCCGGGCATGAGCGGCGGGCGACGGCTCTCACGGGCCCGTATCCTTCCCGGCAGCAGCATTGGACGGTCATCCGAAGTGGTCCACGCGCCTTTACTAAGTGCAGCGCAGCTCCAGTCTCTCTACGACCGCAATGGCATGCGAACGTCCGTAAATGGCGGGCGGACGCTGCACCACAAACCGTCCAGTGCGTGGATAGCGGGAAAGTCCGACGACACCTCGTCGAAGAATTAGACGCTGTTGCAGTATACATGCAGAACCTTACCGTGCCACACCGGCGTAGTCTTCTACTGGCGCGAATACCGTGACGAGGTGGCGAGATGCATCGAGATTCGACGATGGCTGCTTCGTCAGCAGGACGACAGTGCAGCACCGATGGAATGACGTATGTTGCATTGAAGACGCTAGCCGTGGACTACACCGTTGTCTTCTCGAGAGCACATGCCCCCATGTCGACGTGACGCGCCCGTTGTGTCCTGTCTTGTGCTCTGCTGGAGCTTTTGCAATCTTCTGCCACCGGGATTTCTCCGGCAAGTCGGTTACAACGCGTATTTTTCGCCAAATGAAAAAGCGCTCGCTGCCACTCCTTTGTTTTCTATGTCGCGTATGAAACCAAGTGGACGGGTTGAGACTACAGCATACAAAGGCCAAGTGCAAGCGCATGTCGCAGCTTCACACTCAAGTGGGTTCTGTTTCCGTTCAAGTTGACATCCATATAGGCCAGCCGGATGACCAACCACGGTACGTGCTGCAGACCGTCGCCTCTTGCTCATGCTCGCCATGTAGGAGACAAGGCGGCGCCCGCCGTGTGGTGGCACGCGCCGGCCATCGACTTTGTCGCGGGCTCGATCGGTGGCTTTGCCGCCAAGTTTGTCGAGTTTCCCTTCGACACGATCAAGGTACATCGTCGCCGTCAACCGATCCACGACACTACTATCGCACGAGTAGGTCCAGCTGCAGACGAGTCCCGAAGCTGGTCGCGTGAGCGCGCTACGTCAAGTGCAGACGCTCGTGGTCAACGAAGGCCCGTCCGCACTGTACCGCGGGCTGCCGTTGCCGCTCGCTGGCACGGTCATGGAGAGCGCGTGCTTGTTTACGACGATGGGCCAAGTCAAGAATGCCTTGTACGGGCCCGACGCGCACGACTTGCGGCCGTCCCAGGTTGGCCTCGCGGGTGGGATCACGGGCTTCTTCATCTCGTTCCTCTTGAACCCGATCGAGCTCATCAAGTGCCGCATGCAAGTGTCGACGCTGAGTCACAAGGCCACGTACCGCAATACGGGCGACTGCATCGCGTCGTCGATTCGGCACGAAGGCGTCGGCGTCTTTTGTACGGGCGCATAGTTGCGTGCGATTAGCTTTCTCATGCGTATGGTTAGATCGAGGCTTTGGCTCGACGCTGCTCCGCGAAGTCCCGGGCACCGCCGCGTGGTTTACGACGTACGAGACGACGCTGCAGGTATTTGCGCTTGCATTGCCGATGGCGATTGCTAAGTCGCGTGTTTCTAGTACCTCCGTCGCACCAAGCACGACGAGTCGCCGTGGGACGTGATCTTGGCCGGCGCCATGAGCGGTATGGCGTACAACGTCGCGTTCTACCCCGCCGACACGATCAAGTCGTACATCCAGACACACTCGTGCGCCAAAATGAGCATTCCGAGCGTTGCGCGGGATATTTTTCAACAGAACGGCCTCGTCGGCTTCTACCGCGGTCTCCTTCCGACCATCTTGCGTGCGGTACCTGCCAACGCCGTCCTCTTCTACTGCTTCGAAGGCGTCAAGACAACGTGCCACAACGCGATCCACGAGCCTCGGCATGCGATGGCTCTCGGCCAAGCGCCGTGATTGACACCCGAACTACTACCAGTAAACTAGATCCACCTACTTTTTGCGCGACTCTGGTACATCTACGATCGCTCTCGAACATGTCCCTTGCGAGACGAAGGCCCAACGTGCCAAATCGCGCCTTCAACTGCAATCTGGACCGCTCCCACGATCCGGTGCTGGATAAAAACACGCCTCGTAACGTACAGAGACGACCTAGGAAGGTGCATGTACTGCCACTGGAAGCACAGGGACATGCATCGCAACATCGATGGGCGCTTGTGCGACCACGACCGAACCGCGCCGAAAACGCATGAAAGCTTCAAGTTGCGTGTATGTATCCAACCCTGCAGTATGAATACCAATAGAATATCGAGTTTGACAGTATTTGCGCAAGTGGCAGCATGACCAGCAACGAGCCGAGCGACGCGGCGCCGATCGACGTCGACACGCTCAAGTACGTTGCCGGAACAGTCTGCGCGGGCGTCTTTGGCGGTGGCTTTTACCTCGGCGTCCGCCGGCAAAAGACCCACGCTGCCGAGCTCGCGGTTCTCGAGAGCAAGGAAGCGGCCGAGAAGCTTGCGTCAGGCGAGCCGATGGCGCCCAAGCCGAAGGTCTTCTCGTGGTGGGAGCGCGCGCTGGGCGTAAACAAGCCTCACACGCCGGGCGGCGCCGCAGCCAAGGCGCTCCTTGGTACCCTGCTCTTTGGGTACGGAGAGCTCATGCATGGTGGCTAGGTGGTACGATCCTCGCTGTCGTCGGCTCCACTGTCTTCTTCTCGGTGCTGGTCAACGTGGCCGATGAAGAGGCGCTGCACAAGTTTAGCTCCAAGATGACGCGCGTCTTCCCGCCGCTGCGCCATGGCGTCATTCGTATCTTTGGCATAACGCCGCAGGCCGGCCCGACGCCGGAAGCGCTCGCCCAAGAAGACCGCGAGTGGGCCGAGATGGAGCTCGAGATGGAGGCGATTGCGGCCGCCCCTCGCATCGACCCCAAGGCAGCAAATGAATAGACTACTACAATATGCATTCTCCTTCATTCGATGCAGGTGGGAGTCGTCAAGACAACGACTCTAACTCTATAGGACGGCCTCGGCGCTGCGAGGTCGAGGCTTTACGCAGCGTCATCTTCGATCTCGACGGCAACGATCTCGTCGTCGAGGACGCGGACGCGCACGTTGCCATCGTCGACGTGCTTCTTGATCGTGCGCCATTCCGGCGTCTTCTTTTGCACTTGAAGCGACTCGATCATGTCACCCGACTCGTCGTCGAGGAGGCTCAAGTAGCCGTCGGCGTCCATGCCCACACAGCTGTATGTGCGCTCGACCGGCGCCGGCGTGGGCTCGCCGCCATTCTCGCCCGACGAGCCCAAGAGCTGCTCGTGGAGCTTCAAGAGCCGCTTCTTGTGCTTGGTGCCAACGACGCCGAATGGCATTGCGAGCGCGTCCTTCACGAGCAAGAGCACGTCTTCTTCAGCGGGAAAGAGCTGCACGTAGAGGCGGACGGTGTCGAGGAGCCGCTGCTGCGGCAGCTCGGCGAGGCGCGCGCTCTGGTTGCGGAAGAAGAACTTGCGCAGCTTGGCGACCTCCGACTTCCATTTCGAGCGCTTCCCATTCGGGTCCACAAAGCCTTGCGCCGTCGTCCAGAAGAGATCAATGCGCTCGTCCATGCCTGCCCAATACCGATATGCCCCGGGGTGCCAAACGTTGTTTAAGACCTATACTCTACCTTGATTGTGTACACCGGGGTACGCATCGCGTGAAACAACGTTAAACGAGTAAAACGTACTCTGCGTTTGCCTGCCAACAAGCACACAAGGAAGAGCAGCATGTTTGCGAAGGCCTTCAACTTGAGTGGCAACACGCGCCTCAAGGGCAAGGACGTCAAGAAGCTCCGCGTGGACCTCCTGCGCGCTTGCGCCATCGACGGCGACGTCGCCTGGAGCTACCTGGAGAAGGCGCCGATCGCACGCGTCAAGCTCGCGGCGCCGTCGCGCACCTTGCTCTACACGGACGCCGACATGAACGTCGTCGCCTTTGACATTAACGGCAAGGGCGACGTCGTGCCGACGACGTTCCTGCTGTGGCACGAGCCCGAGCTCCGCAACCGCATGCCCATGCTCACCGTGCACGCGCCCGTGAGCCACTACCTCTTGCGCGGCGCCGACCCAATGCTGCCCGGCGTTGTCCGCCGCTTCGAGACACCGCTGGAGAAGGGCCAGCTCCGCGCCGTCTGTATCAGCGGCAACCCGATGCCGTTCGCAGTCGGCTCGATGGTCGTCGACGACGACCACCTCGCGTCACAAGGCTGGAAGGGCAAGGCCATGGAACTCTACCACGTGTACGGCGACGAGCTCTCCAAGATGGGTCCGTCCCACAAGCGCTTTGTGCCGGATGGCTTTTCCGACTCGATCATTGAACCGACGTCCGAGGACATCGCGGAGGCGGCGGCGATCGAGGTGCAGGGTCTGAGCGATGACGAAGCCAAGCCAGCGCCTATCGACGACGGTAGCGACAACGAGGACGAGACGACGAGCTTGAGTGTGCCCGAGATGGACGCGCTCCTGGAACATTCGTTCTACCAAGCGATGAAGAAGATCAAGCCGAGCGACGCGCCGATGCTCGGCAACCAGTTTTACGGCAACTACGTCTTGCCGCAGCGCCCGCTCGGGTCGACGATCCACCTCAAGGGCACGTCGTACAAGAAGTTCTCTGTCTTCCTCAAGGCCATGGCCCACCACGGTTCGATTGAGCTCAAGGAGCAGGATGGCGTCCAGACCATCACGCTTTTCCGCAAGACCCACCCGTCCGCATCTCGAAGTGAAAATACGTGCTCATCAAGCGTAGGGACGTGGCGCGACACACGCTGCATCACTCGGAACAGGACGCGATCGACCAAGCCGCCGAGGTACGTACTTGGTCAACCAGCATCGTGGCGACGGCCGCGTAGGAAGCGACGGGCGGAGCGTTTGTGCCGGGGCAGCACGCGCCCGAAGTGCTCCAGCTCTACCGGCTCACGCAGCAGACGCAGTTGGTGTGCGACAATGCTTCGCTCAAAGAAACCTTTGCCACCAGTGAACTCCGCAACAAGCTCAACGCGTACATCAGCGCGCACGGCCTTGTGGACCCGCGCGAGCCGCAGTTTGTCAAGCTCAACCCCGACCTCACCGACGCCTTGTACAAGAAGAAGCCCGTGCGTTTGATGTCGCTCAGGAATGCCTACTTACGAGAGTGCGTATGCGTAGGACGCGGGGTACCCGGTCAAGCTGCCGCGCAAGGACATTCTGTCGCTCTTCCTCGACCGGCTTCGGGTACGGCGATCGATATCCATGGCGCATCGTACATGAATGGCATCAAGGCGTACCACGCCGTCATCTTGTACCCGGGCCACGACGCCAAGGAGATTGTGGGCGACTTCAAGCCCGTCCATATCAAGACAGAGCTCTCCAAGCGCCAAAAGCCCGTCACAATCGTCTCCAACTTTGCGGTGCGATTCGATACATTGATACTTTTGTAGCCAGTGCGTTTGGTAGCAATTTGGCATTGACGCCGAGACGCTGGCCCACGACGCGCAGAAGAAGTGGGCGTGCAGGTATATACATCCTGTTTATGGACAACATTGTCACATAGTCCATCGTCACCTAGTGCCTCGGCGTTGCTCGCGGCCGAGAAGGCCAAGGAACTCGACGTGCACATCCAGGGCAACCTCGCGACCGACGTGGTTGCGTACTTGAGCAAGGTCTACAAGCTCCCGCCCAAGTACTGCGTGACCGAGTTTGGCAAGGGCATCAAGGCCAAGCGCTAAGCGTACAACCAAACAGCGACATGCTTGATGTATATTGAAACTAGTCGCGGTCAATGACGCCCTTGCTGTTGAGCACCGCGTACTCGAGCTGCGCCGAGAGCACCTCCCGACACGAGTACGCGGGCAAGTGCAGCGTGTTGGTGCACGTGCGTGCAAACGGCAGCGCACGGTCCACGTCCTCGTCGTCGTTGATGACGCGCCGAACGACTTCGAACGGCGGCTTGAGCGTCTCGAGGCCGACGCCGCCGGGCGGCAAATTGGGACACCCGGTCGCGTAGAGGAGGAAGGCTCGGCGCTGCGCCGTCGTCATCGACACGAGTGTCTGGATAAAGTACTCGATCGGCGCGCTCGCCGCTGTGTAGCCGTGCGCGAGCTTGATCGTTTGGCGCAACGACGCTTCCGTCCACTCGACGTCGACGGTGCCGCAGAGCGCTGCTTGGATCTCGTGCGCATGCAGCAGCCGGAGCTTCTCGGTCGCGACCACGTCGTTGAGGCCCTCGCGGAACGCCTGCACCTGGCCGGCAATGCCGCGGCCGAGCCAAATGTCGAGCACCTGCTCCACGTACGCCGACAGGTTCTCCGTCGTCACACTGAGCACGGCGCCGTTGGCCACTATCGCCAACGTCAAACTAGCAATTCAAAAGAAGCCAAGGCGGCGTCGTACCGAGCTCCGTCTGCGTACACGGGTCGACAAACGACAGGTCGACAGCCTCGAGCCAGTCGGTCACTGGCGTGCCTTCGATAGTCACGGCGCTTGGCGCTTGTGTCTCAAGCGCCCGGGCCGCCTTGTAGAGCGAGTAGAGAATCCTACACGCTTGTGAGACGCCGAGTACAAAAGGACGCGCGACGCACCGGCCCGGCTCGAGAAAGATCGTCGGGAGGTCGTGCATTGCGATCGGCTCGTGCAGCACGAGCTGTAGAAAATGCTGTGCGAGCGGCAGCGGCAAGAGGCGGTCGTCCAAGAGCGCCTTGCCTGCCAAGCGTCTAACGAGATCGGCGCTGAGATTGCCGTATCAATCTATCGAGACGTGTTGTACCCCACGAGGCGGAAGCGGTCGAGGAGCTCGGTGCGGCCGCGGGCGTCGACCGTTGGCAGCGGAAAGAGACCGTTCGGGTGCCGAATCATATCGTCCGACGTGTCTTCATCCCCGCGGACCCTAGGATCGTCGTATGAGGACTGCAATAGGCAACCCAATGTTGTTTATACCAGAGCGCCAGAGGTGCATTCGACTGCAACGCTAGCGCGGCCGCCGAGTAGAAAGCCGCAGTGACGCCCGAGCCATACCCGCGCTCCCCGACAAACACAATGTCGAGGATGGCTTTGCGCTTGCCGTGCACCTTCATGACGGCGTCGGCCGACTTGAGAATGTCGCTGCGCTCGACCTTGGCGCGTTCTTTCGGGAGTGGCGAGATCGAGAGCACCTCGTCCGACTCGGTCGACGGCTCCAAGTGGTCGCGCAGCCAGTGGAGCGACCGTGAGCAGCCAAACGCCGTCGTACGGAACAGCATCGATCGGAGCTCGAGCGGAAACAAAAATTTGGACTAGACACCAGCAGTATAAGAACACCGTCATGCGTCAATCTACCGCAGACCTGGCGCGTGAGCTCGTCGCACCACGCGGGGTACGACCCACTCGTGATGCTCAGCACGTCGTGCAGCTGCAGGCGCAGCTTCCGCGACAAGCGAGTGTTGACCCACATGTCGGCGTTCGCGTCATTGCCGTACTGCTTGTAGAGAACGGCGAGGAGGCGCAGCGCTTGGTGCAACGCGCCGTCGTGCGCGGTGTCCATTTCTTGCGATTTCGGGGCCACTACGTCACGGTACGTCGTCGGTTGCGTCGACGGAACCGCTGGGACAGGAGTCGACGCTGCGTCGTCATCCCACAAGACGGCAAAGTCGCAATACAACGAGTACATGCACTTCCACGGCGCCACGTTGGACGACAGCGCGGTCGATGGCTTGAGGCGCGAGAGGCAGTGGAGCAAGTTGTCTTCGGGCTGGAACGCCATGAGCGTTGTCGGTGCCGACGCCGACGGGGCTGCCAGCGAGCCCTCCGAGACGCCCAGGCTCTCCAGGTAGGCCGAGAGGAGCTTGCAGCGTCGGCTATCGCGACACAGGTGCGCGACAAAGTCGAAAAAACCGCTTAGCGTGAGGCAGGTACGCGCATGCTCGAGGGCCGCATACTGGCTAAACCAAATGCCTTCCTCAGACGCCAGCAGCCCGAGCTTGACCGCCTTGACAAACGCACCAAAGTCCTCGAGGCCCAAGGTCAACGTGCTCTGGACGTTGACGGGCGCGGGTGGCAGCAACGTGGGGCGACCGCCAGTCGCAAACGCCTCGAAAAGGGCCGTGAAGATGGGTCGCACCGAGTCGAGCAAGCTCTTCTGGTTCATCGTGAGCACAAGGCCCTGGAGCGGGTGGGTCGGGACGCCCTCGTCGTGGCCCTTGTCCGAGTACTCGCCGTACCCCAAGAGACAACGCACTTTGGGTGGCGCGTCACACGTCCATGACGCGCCGTCACGGACTAAAGTCGGCGGCGTCGGGGCGGCTCTTTGCTTGCCCTTGGCCTTTTTGGTTGGCGGTGGCGTCAACGTTGCTGATGCGTCGTCGTCACCGCGGGGCCGCGTCAAGAGGCGGCGCAGTTGCTCCATCATCGGCCGACCGCCTTGCCGGAATTGAGATTCCAGCGCGCCCATCATGCGGTTGACTAGACAAAGCACGTGGTTGATCCAATAGAGCAAACTTAACGCCAAACTGTACCTTTGGAGGCGGCGGATCCGGGGCGCGCGCGCGGCTGGTGGGCGACCAGCGTCGCTTCGTCCACCGTGAGCGGCACGGGCGCGCCCTCCGTGCCAAAGGCCGCGTGCACCAAGAGCTGGTGGCGCTCGAGCCGCTTGACAACCACGGCGCTCACGCACACTTCCGAGAGCGACGAGCGCAACCACACGCGGTCGCCCGCCATCGACGTCGCGGCCTGGTCGAGCTTGAGAATGTCCATCAGACGCTTCCGCTTCCCGCGCGCTTCGGTCATCGCCGCGTCCTGCTCCATGTCCACGTCCAGGACACTGCCGTCGTCGTCGTCGTCGTCGTCATCGTCCTGCATGTCGCCACCCTCTTCGTCGTCATCATCCACTTCGTCATGGTCGTCCATGTCGTGCTCATCGTCGGCTTGTTTTTCCTCCTCCGACGCCGACCCTAAACGCGAACATGACGAACCTGGCACGCGCGCGCATGCAAATGTACCGCGCCGCTTCTTGGCCCGCTTGGAGCGCCGAGTTTCATTCTTGTCGTCGGTCTTCGCCTTGCGCTTCAAGCTCGGGTCACTTCCAAACGCCTCCACGTTCATCGACACATTGGCAAACACAGTGAGCGGCTTCTTGACGAGGCGGTACGGCTCTTCGTGCAGCACCTCCTCGGTAAAGTCGTCACCGCGCGAGACCAAGTGGCAGCCCGAGACAGAATCAAAGCCCGCGACGAGGCACTCGACCCACTTGCCGTCGATTTGGCGCCAAATGCGCTGGCCCACGAGGTTCCACGCGTACACCGTCCACTTCGGATCAGTGAGCGTCGCGCACCGAAACACCGTGCGCTCAAACGACGAGAAGAGCGTGAGCGGGGACGCATGGATGCTTCGCGGCGGCATGCTCGCGTACGTCGCGCACTGCGGCGTGAGGCGGAGTCGGCACCGCAGCTGGCGCGTGAGTGGGTACAGCTCCTTGCCCTTCGCGAGCCCGTAGCTCACGACTGGCAGCGTTTCATGGAGCCCAATCGCTTGGTGCAAATGATGCACGAGCTTCGCGAGTGACGGCTGCCACGGCACAGGGGATGCCTGCAGCAGCGAGAGGAGTGTCGGGACGACGCGCGACTTGGTAAATTCGTACGTTGTGACGCCATTGTCGACACTGAGAAGCCGCAATATGTCAGCCACGCTTCCACGGTCGCAGGCCGCCTCGAGCTGCGAGAGCACATCGGACGCGGTTGTCGACGCGGTCGTCGTGGGCGTAAACCACGCATAGAGCGCGTCGAGCCACGCTTGGGCAAGACCCGCGAGCGTCGCGTCGTACGTCGGTGCTTGGCGCGACGCGATGGTTGACACAAGAGCGAGAATACCCTGGCGCTCCATCTGCACGATCCACTCGGTGCGCTGGGGCCGCGTGAGCGCGTGCAAGAGACGCAGCGCCAGCACAAACGGACCCACGGATGCCGCCTCGTCGCGCGCTTGATGCAGCTCCATGAGAAGACCCTGGATGATCTCGAGGAGGCGCGTCATTTGGCCAAACGAGAGGTCCACCGACGTGTTCAAGATGGCGCAGACCGCGCCGAGAATCGTCTGCGCAATCGCCTTGTTGTCGATCGTCGGGCAGAGCTCGAGGAGCGTTGCTAGGAGCTTGGACGTGAACGCCGCGACATCGGCGTCGGGAAGGTCCACGGCGCATTCGATCGAGTCGATGCTTTGGGACCGGCCCCGGTCGTCGCCCGACTGCTCGTCCATCGACTCGTCGTGGACGGTGCCGTCATCGCGGCCCATGTCGTCATTGTCCTCGTCTCCTTCTTCTCGTTCGTCGTCCAGTTCGTCGTCGTCGTCGTCGTCTTCTTCGTCGTCTTCTTCTTCCTCGTCAAACTCGCGCTCGGACGCTTCCGACTCGTCGACGCCGTCATCGACCATCCAATCCCGAGCAAACCACGCCGGGGGATCGTCGCTCTGCTCGTCCTTCTGGCTGTCGTACAGCGCGAGGAGCTTGACGCACGGGTTACTGGCTTCGGTGTCGCCCGCGGCGGCCAAGGCTTCGGCGACACTACGCCCGTTCGCGTCCAGCAGCTTGGGGTTGGCGCCGTGCTGTAAAAAGTACGATAGCACGTCGCAGCGTCGGTGCAAGGCGGCCGCGTGGACCGCATCCGGTAAGATCTCGGCGCCTTTTTGGACGAGGAACCGCACCATCTCCATGGAAGCGTGTTCGACCGCAAGCAGCACGAGGTCGTCGGTGCCACTGAGGCTTGCGCCATCGCGAAGGAGCGTGTGGACGGCAGGAACGGCACTCGCACGAACAAACGCCGCCATAAAGTCCGTCAACGGCGCCGACGCTCGGGGATGGACGCGCCGGACGACATGCGAGAGAAACCGAAGGGTGCTCGTGACCACGGCTTCCGACTTCGACGTCTTGAGCACGACCGTGAGCTGCGCGAGGAGGTCGGTCGCAACGGTCGCCGAGATGATGGTCGATAGAAGCGCCGGTGCGTCATCGAGCAGGTGCGTCAAGAGCGTCACGGCGGCGCGGCTGGCTTCGTGCCCGTCGTCCTGCTGCACCATGATCACCAGTAGCTGACGAAGGCAATGTTCCGGCATTGTGAGGTGTGAGCTCTTGTGCAGCGAGAGCGACCGGTGGTAAAGCGTCGTGAGGCTCTTGATCGCGGCGATTTGGACGCGTGGGTTGGCGTGGTGCAGGGCGTGGGCGATCGCGGTGACGACCGCGTCGAGCGGCAGCATTGGCGCATGCTTCGTCGCCTTCTTCTTCGTCTTCTTGTCCGGCAGCTTGGCCTTGGTGCACACCTTGTGCAGCATCGCAAGCGACGTCAAGAGCACTTGGAGGTGGAGCGTCTCGGCAAATCGCACGAATTCGAGATACGCGATGAGCGATGGCGGGTCGCAGAGCGCGCGAAACGCCAGTGGGTGTGTCGAGCAGACGACGTCGAGGCCGTTGAGCGCCTCTTCGGCAAGCTGCTGCCGCAACTTCTTGTCTGTTGTCGGCGACGCCGCCATCTCGTTCATCGCATCGAGGTACATGTGCATCCAGTCGGCGGCGGCCTTGCCGTCGGCCGCGCGCTCGTCGAGCTTGACGAGGTAGTTGAGCGACTGGCATGCCAAGAGTCGGCACTCGAGCGCAAACGGAGACTCTTGCTTGAGGATCGAGCAGAGCAACGTCATCATCTTGGTATCGTGTTTGAGTCGCTGCGACTTGGGCCGCCCGAGGAGGAGGCTGACGCCAAACCCGGCGTCCGTGTCGGCGGACGCATCCATCATGGCCAAGTGGTGTGTGATCGATTGGAGCGCGTCGACAAGCGCCGTCTTGGACGCGCCCGGTGCGCAGAGCGCCTCGAGCTTCTCACCCGAGATGCCGAGTTGCGGGGCGTCGCTGCGAGAGCTCTTGTCCGAGAAGAGCCCCAGCGCCGAGGCCAGCGATAGCCCGCGGTGCGAGTTGAGATGCGCTGGGTTCGGTGTCGAGCACACGCTGCAGACCTGTGCATCGCGTGGGTTGAGTAACGTACATGCACTGCAAGCCCAGGACGACGCTGACGCCGTTGCAGCCGGACCGGCCACCTTGGCGGTCCCACACATCTCGCAGATCGACGACGACCGAGCGTTCTCGTATGTGCACGCAGCGCAATTCCACGCCGCAGCCGCCGACTCGTCGCCGGACGGCTGGCTCATCTCGACCTCGCTCGATGACGACTCCATGCTCTCGTCGCGATCCTCATCGTCCTCATCGTCCTCGATCTCATCATCGTCATCGTCGTCGTAGTGCTCCATGGAGCCGGCGCCATCCGTCCCGCTGCCCAGGTCGGCGCCCCGCAGCAAGCGCCCGTTGTCGTCGTCGTCCGCCATGCTGCTCGAGAATCGGGATCAAACGACCACAAAAGAGAACAAACGGGGGCGTGGCAATGGACAGCAGATGCGCCGCGGATTGGCTAAAAAACAGCCAATCACAGTGCGTCGTCACCGGACCGCTTATCCGACTCGCAGATGTGACCCGACATTTTCCAGCGAACCGCCAGAGTGGACATATTGTCATTCGGGTAGACCGAGGTACATTGACCAACGTACAATATTGTAGTGTCGTCCCAATCCGCTTACTATCTCCAAGGCGTTCGGTTTCGCCCAACTCAAAAAGCAAAATTGAATTTGAAGATCCACGCATTGAGCTAGGCAAGTGTTGATATTGCACAATATTAGTTGTGGAACAAGTCGTCCATCGTGCTCCCGAGGTTCTCAACCAGCGAGACGGTCGGGAAGAAGCGCAGAACGTACTCGGACCGGTCCATGTGGTACTCGCCTCGGACGGGCGCGGGCGGGAGGTTGCTCGAGAAGAGCGACGCCGTCCGGATCTTGGTCGCGCGGCAAGAGAGCACGCCGTCGTCGAGGAGCATGAACGCCAAGCACCGCGTGTCTTGAAGCCCGAGGAGCCCCCGGAACTGCCGCTGGAGCTCGGCTTCGCTCAAGCCCGGGTAGCGCCACGCGAGCATCGCAGCCTCGCGCTTGAGCACAAGCAGGCATGTCGTGTTGACGCTGCCGTCCAGCTGCAGCCACGGCCGGGACGTCGTCGGCAGCTGCGACTCGTCAAAGCGCACGGCACCGTCGTGGACGGCGTACGGGCGCAGCTGCCACAGCGCGGCTTCGGACGCCGCCACGTAGCGCAGCTCGGCAAACGTGTGGGCCTCGAGGACCTTGGTGGCAGCGACGAGGGATGCAAGCCGGGACACGACCTGCGACGTCGAGTACCGCGGTCGATACTGCTTGAAGAGCTTGGAGCTGGCGACGCCGAGCGGGCCGGCCTCGATGAGGAGCCGGAGCAACTTGGTCTCAAAGAGCGTTGCGCACGCGTCCAACGAGGCATGGCTCACATCGCAGTGGCACTCCCACGCCTCGTCCAGCTCGTCAAACATGTTGTCGTCGTCGTCCACCATGTCCATCTCATCGTCTTCGAGGCCATAGACAATGTCCGACACGTCGTGCTCGCTCCGACTCTTGGACGTGACGCTCCACTTGTCATCAAAGAGGTCGGGCGACTGGCCTTTCGTAAAGCGCACGAGGTGCCCGACAAACCCGTCCGAGTACTTGGCGTGGCCCTTCTTGCGCGGCGGCTCGACGTCCTGCACGTCGGCTTCAAAGGTCGGGAGGAGCGAAATCGCGCCCGTGACGGCGCCCGAGAGCAGCACCGCGAGGTGGCCCGCGCCCGTGTTGGCCGGCACGTCCGCCTCCACGTCGTCGAGGCCGTTCAATGACGCGGCGGCGTCCGCGGCCTCGAGACACATGGGCATCGGGTGCAGCGTTGGCGCCAGGCGCAGAAAATCAAACGTGCTCGGCGCGAGCGAGAAGCCCCGGCGGTGTCCAAGGTCCTTTTGCGTTGCTTTGACAAACATGTGGCTGAACCAGAGGTAGCGCCACACCATTTGGAGCTCGGTTGTGCTCCAGCGCGCAAAGAGCGCGTCCGCGACCTTGGCGTTATAGACCTCGTTGGGCTCGAGCATCATTTGGACAGCGCGGACAAAGCACGCGTACAAGCGCGGCGACTGGTGCACCGTCATTTCCTCCAAAAAGAGACCGGACGGGTTCTTGGCCGAGAGCATCTCGGCTTCCATGTCCCGCTTGCGCTTCTTGTGGACCGGGTTCGTCATGAGCGACTGGAGGCGGCGCTTGAGGTCCATCGGGCGCGCGTGGCCCACTTTGGTGCACATGGCCTTGTAGTTGATCTTGGTGCGGCCGAGGCGCGGGTTGCGGAACACGGCCTTGGGTTCGTTTGGCAGCCTGAGCTCGACCGGGACTGGGATCTGCCACGTGCTCGGGAGCTCGTCAAAGTAGAGCAAAAGCGCCTTCTCCTCGGTCGCTTCCATGAGCGGGTACTTGAGCTTCATGCGGATCGGCTCGGCCGAGACCTTGACGGGCCGCTTGCGGTGCACGTTCTTCGGGACGTACGACGCGACGTGGTTCGAGTAGCGCTCGTCGCGGCGCTGGCGGGGCGCGATCGGCTTCAGCCGCTTCACCGGCAGCTTCTTGGGCGCGACGCGGTCGATCCACGCGTGGCGCACGTACGACGCGTTGGCACTGACAAACATGGCCGGCGACACAAAGCAGGGCGACGCAAAGCCGTTCTCGCCCACGAGCTCGAAGCGCGTGCGCTCGATCGAGATGCACTCGACAATGTCCCAGAACGCGTTGACGTCCGCAACCGAGTTGAACGTATGGCGCACGCGGAGCTCATGGTTCTCGTCCACCCGTTTAAACTTGAAAAACGTCACGGGGCGGAGGAAGCTAGTGTCGTCCAAGAGCACGACCCGGTCGCGTCTCTTGGCCTCGTGGACCACCGGGACGTCCATGTTTGCGCGGTGCAATACGAACCGGCCGCCGGTGATCGTGTCTTCGGAGGCCTGCAGCACCATGTCGTCGACATCGTCAAAGACAGCGGGGACGACGCTTGCGCGGGCCGTCACCGCCTCTTGGACGACGACTCGCAGATCCCGCAAGTGGTCCATGAGCCGTCGAATGCGGCGCCACTTGTTCTTTGTGATCTTGCTCAGTACCGACTCGGAGAGGTCGTGCCACGACGGCGCGTCCGACCGCAGCACGCGCGTGAGCTCCGTCTCTTCGGCGGTCGTCATGCGCTCGCACGAGCCAAAGATGTGCACAAAGTCCGAGAGCGGAATCCGCGACATGACTTGCAACAGCGAAAACGTGATCGGCGACGGCGTCGTTGTGTCCCAGAGCCCGAGCGACATGAGGATCTCGCAGATCGCGACGTGGAGCAGCTTGGTGCGGCACGCCAGCCCAAACGCCATGCCGAGCCGGCGGTTCTGCTGGCCCAAGACGACCGTCAGCCGCTGGGTCGAGAGGTGCGCGCTCTTGTTGTACACAATGGTCTTGGTCATCGGCGTCTTGTGGGCGGCGAGCGGGTCCCGGACGACGATGCGCATCGAGTCGTCGTTGTGCAGCATGCCGAGGTCCGAGACGTCTTCGTGCGCAAACGTCTCGATGAAATGGCGGATCGCGGGCTGGCCGGGCGCTGCGACGGCGCTTGTGAGAGCCACACAGCGCACTTTGCGGCGGTGGCGCGGGTCGCTTGACGGCACGAGCACGTCGAGGAAGACAACCGCCTTCTTCTTGACGAGCCCCTGGAAGATCTTGGTGATCGTCCGGTGGTCGACAAAGCCCTTGGACGTCTTGGTGGTCACATTGTCGTGTTCGCGCAAGACGAGCATACGTCGGAACGTCGCCAGCGACACGATTTGCTTCTCTGTGACAACCGCAAGTGCAAACTCGGTCCGGACATCAATGACGTTGGCCACGGGCTGCTTGCCCGAGCTCGCGAGCACCGACCGGAGACTCGGGCGATTCATATCGACGGGCGGCGTCTTCGCAGCAGTGGTCGGTGCCGCCATCAATGCCGATGGCTTCCTCTCGACGTGCGTCGACGGCACGCGGAAGCGATACGACGTGCTTCGCCCAACGAGGAGCTTCTCGGTCTCCAAGCTGTAGCTGAGCAGGAGCGACTGGACCTTCTTATAGCACACCTTGTCGGACATTCCGCACCGATCTCGAACTTGGGGAATCGTGAGGCCTTCGGGCGTCGCAGCGATGAGCGAGTAAATGTGCTCGAGCGGCCCGAGCTCGCAGCGCGGCGGGTGCGAGAGGCGGAACGCAGGCACGTCGGTGAGCGCGCCCACTGGCGGCTCGTACACCTTGACGCACCACAGCTTGCGCCCCGACGAGCGCTGGCCGGACCGGCACGTGGCCATGAAGACTTGGACCGGGTACGTCGCGTCGCGCAGCATCTCTTGCACAATGTAGTTGCGGATCGTCTCTTGGAGCCGTTTGCTCCAGTTGAAGCGCTTGGCGATGTCGGCAAAGACGGCCGTCGACTCCTTGTGCGCGCGGAGCGACTGTAGCATGCGCGTGACCATCGAGCCCTTGTTGTAGAGCTCGTCTTCGAACGTCGCGCCTGGCGCTACCATGCTCGGTCGAAAGAGCGCTGCGTACCGCGTCAGATGGATCATGTTGAAGCGCTTGCTCTCGAGTAGGATGATGCGCTTGACCACGAGCTTGCGCGCAATGAGGCCGTCGATGAGATGGTGGGCGCGCTTGACGTCGCTCTGCGCGAGGCTGCCGGCCAAGTCGGTGATCGCCAAGCCCTTCTCGCGTGTGTGCGCGACGCGCTCGAGGATGTCAATGTACACGGGGTTGAAATCCGACTCGGCGTACGAGATACCGAGCACCTTCAAGCGCAAATCTTCGTTCGCAATCGCAACGAGCGACACGTCGACGTAGGCGTCAATGAAGGCAAGCCCTCTGACGTCAACGTCGGGCTGCGTCTCGTACGGCATGGGCTGTCGCACCGGCGGCGGCGGCACCCTACGGTTCGGCGGCGCCTTGAATGGCACGGACGCCACTTCAATGTCGGACGCGCCGCCGCTGTACTCGGATGCGCTGTCGTCGCTGTCGCTCGTCTTGCGTCGCTTCTTGGCGGGCTTGGCCTTTGGCTTTGGAGGCACCTTGCGCTTCAAGCTGGGTACCACGACCTCGTGCTTGATCGGCACTCTAGATGCAGGCTCGATGCGATAGAACCGGATCGGCTGCTGCTCGTACGCGCCTTGGCGCAAGATGGACCAGCACGCGTCGCGGACAGCCGGATCCTTCGTCGGTTCGTACATGTCAAAGAGCTCGCGGATCGAGACGCCGTTGCGGCCGCCCAGCGCGATGCTCTCGTACAGCGTCGGCATGAGCCGCAGTACGCTCCAGCGCGCCTCTCTTGGTGCTTCGGTCCGTCCCATGGCCCACGCACGGTTGGGTCCGCAACCACTTGCACTTTTCGAAGTTCGCTGCTTCGACTCGGTTCAGACCACGAGCCACACGCCGCCTCGATAAAGTACGGTTATGCCTTCGAACTTCGATTTCCATTTTTGGCATCTTGCCGACAACGCGCCGACGGCCTCGCAACCCACTGCGTCGACAAGGGTACTGTGGCCGGCGACTGCCTTCGCCATTGCTGCAGCTAGAGTATTGCACTCGACTGCGAATAGCGTCGATGCTATCGGGATGGGCAATAAAACTCATTGGGACTTCCACCGCAACAGCTCAACGCTATCGCCATTGCACGTCACGCCCTTGTCCGTCCATCCAGTGGCGCAGCCTAGCCAGGCGTCGCCTCTACGAAGGCATGTGTTGCCTCGCAGTCGTTCACCGGCAGCGCCCACCAGCACGGTGCGCTGGCCACGGCAGTAAGCTCGGTGCGGCTGCTAGAGATGTATGAGTCGCGTCATGCTGCATTGGCGTTGGAGGGTTGAGTGCAAGCTGCACCTTGTTGGGGGTTGCCACAGCGACAGTGGTTGCATGGTGCGAGCCCAACGCTTCAGAAGGTGCTCGCGACGGTTCAAGATCGCATGTCGCGCCACAAGGAGCGCGTCGAGGCGCGGCTCGCCGAGCGATTCGGCATTCGAGATGCGCTCGAAGCGTCGGACGAGCAGCGCGCCATCAACGAGATGATCCAGCGCGTCGCAAAGATCGCCAGTGAAGACACGCTGCGTGAAGACGGTGGCACTTGAGGCCCATGTCTACCTTTACAATATCCAAAGCGTAGGCTTCTTCTTTCGCGACGGACAGTACATGGGCGCGCGCCGCTTCAAGGAGACGCCTGGCATGGTTCTCCGCGTCTTGGAGGGTCACACCGCAGCCGTGCGCGCCATCGGCATTGATGCCGACGTCCTCTTCACCTTTGGCATGGACGGGTACATGCGCCATTCGCTACGTGCTGCTGTACATCAATGGCTCTGTCTAGCGTCTGTGTGTGGGCACCGCATGCGCCGACACCGATCGCGCGACTGCCGCGACATACGCTCACAAGCGGCGCCTACCGCGTAACCGGCGCGGTCTCGGTGCGCAGTGTCGTCATGTGCTGCGCAGGCATGTCCCGCTCACTTGTGCGTGATCATGATGTTGCATAGGACCAGCACCGTGGCGCTTGGAGCTCGTCAAGTCAACGCCAAATTGGGACTTGATCCCCGTGGCGACCGGCGTCTTTGGCCACGACGGCGCGATCACATGCTGCAGCTTTAGCCCCAACGGCAATGTCTTTGTCACTGGCTCGCTCGACACGACGTGCGTTCTATGGGATCCCAGGTCGCTTCAAGTCCTCCAGATCCTGAATGCCCACGCCGGCGGCGTCGCAGCGTGTCACTTTGGCGCGCACGACGACGCATTCCTCTTGACCGCCGGCGCCCTCGACATGAGCATCAAGCGCTGGGATGTCTCCTTCTACACGCTTGGCGCATCATCCTCGTCGGCACAGACGCGCGATGTTCCGAGTGACGCGCCACTGAACGGCGATGGGCTCGAGACTGACACGGCACTACTAGCGCCACCAAGGACCCGTAGCGATGCTGCGAATTCAAAAAGCAACCTGAACGATACGTGCGTCCACTGGAAGCAAGGTGCTGAGACACATGCGAGCACCTCCACGGAGCTCCGACCTCCAATGACGGTCGCTTCAGCACCGTCAACCACGACAGAGATCGCGGTACCGACACCTGACGACGCATTCAAGCAGGACGGCAACGGGGTACCGCGCGCCACGCCGTTCGAAGCTGTGAGCTGGATGCAACTGCAAAGTCGATCGAGCATCTTTGCGTTTGCGCGCGTCGTGCACCCGACAGCACTGTGGAGCGACCGGCAAAAGTACAACCGGGCGCTCGACACGCTCTTCTCGCCGAATGTGACGCTCCAGACGCTAACGCTCGAGAACCACATTCCAGAATTTGCATTCAACGACGACTGGTGCTTCCACCGACCGCCGTCGTCGCTGCGCCTGCCGCCACTCCATGCCTTTGCGGTGGACGCGCATACGATGGACGTTCGCGAAGACGACGACGACCCGGCGACGCTCTCGGCACTCGAGCACATTGACATCTTGTCTCTTTTGAACCCGACGACATCGGCGCGGCACCCGCACTGCGACGTCGTGGCCAACACGATGACGAGCCGCGTCACCTCCTTCTGCTTTGCGCATCACCGGTTAACCGCAGTCGATAGCGAGTACGTGCAACACTCGCACACGATCAACGGCCTCGCGCTATCGCCGGCTGGCGACTTTGTCATTTCCGTCGCGTCCGACCGCGCGATCAAAGTACGTTGAAAATACCGCCCTGTGTACAACCCGCAGTGCACGATTAGCGCTGGCACGCCCAGACAGGAGCCCATGAGGTGACGACGCGCGATGCGCATGCGCACCCGATCTTGTGCTGTGCGCTGGCAGCACATCCGAGTGACGTCAAGATCCAGTTTCTCGCAACTGGCAGCGCCGACGCCAGTGTCAAGATCTGGAACGTCAGCGACATGACAACTCTGTTTACGCTTTTGGGACACTACGACTCGGTGACGTCGCTGTCCTTTTCGCCGTCGCGTCACGCTTTGTATTCGACGTCGCTCGATATGCGCGTCATCCTGTGGCAAATTGTCCCTACTGGTAGGTGCATTCCTACGCTGTAGATAGAACCACGAGGTGCGTAGTACCGGACGCACCGCGGCCACCGACGATCGTTGCCGTGCACTGCCACGCGATCGAGATTGCATGGAGCGAGCCCCTCGTACAATACTATCAAGTTGATACTCTGCCCACGCGAACACCTTTAGGGCAACGGAGCACCGATATTACTGTACGAGATACGCACGTCGCGTGACCATGGGCCGTTCGAGGCGCCGATGCAAGTGCGTCCGGACGAGACTGTTTGCTGCATGGACGCCTTGGACCCGGGCATCGTCTATGCGTTTAGAGTCGCGGCGCGCAATCATGTCGGGGCCGGACCCGCTCTGACATCTTTTGAACTGCTACGTAGGTCGGACTCGGCGACTTTAGCGAGAGCTCGCCGCCGGTCGAGACTCACGCGTACCGTACGTGTTTTCTACGTCTCGTCTCGTACTTGGAGGTGGTAATGCAGGGCCGTCCAAGGTGCAGAAACCGTGCGCGGTCGGGAGCGTCACAACGCACAGCGTCGTGCTCGAGTGGCTGCCCCCGCTCGCTAACGGGTCGCCCATTTCGCACTACCACTTTTGCTGCGTACCCGAGGACACGCTTGGCACCGAGGACGTCATCCACGAGGTCATTCCCATGGACGCAATCGCGGGTCAGAGCCGTGCCGCGCGGGAAGCCGCCGAAGCTGGTGAGCGGTCATATTTCTGGTGGAGCGGCAGGGATCCCACATGGATAGCGTTTGTGCGCAAGCTCGAGGAGCGGGCCGAGCGCGACGCCGAGCGCGCCACGCGCTTGAAATCCAAAAAAGCGCTGGAAAAGAGTATGAAGTTGCAGCTCCAAGCCCGGGCGCGGCTCGAGAAGCAGCGTCGGCAGGTGCGAAGACCTTGGTACAACCCATCGTACTGAAATATGCATAGGAAGAGAAAGCGGTGCCGACAGCGCTGCTCAAGTACACGCTCACGTGCGTCTTGCCCGGCACGATTTACCAGTTCCAGCTCGCTGCCGAGAACCGGTGCGCGCGTTGTGTGGAAAAATGTGGATCTGATATTTACATCCAGATGTGGTGTCGCCGACTTTTCGATTCCATCCATGTATATCAAAACCGAGTCGTGCGGTATACCTACCTGATGCTGTTGCAGTCGTGACTCGTATGGTCGCCGTTAGAGCCCAACGCGCCAGACCAGCCGACGCTCTCGCACATCACACCGACGACGGTCCAGCTGCATTGGCAACCGCCGCGCGCCAACGGCAGCGACGTCGTTCAGTACACACTGGAATGGCTCCACGATGGCGACACGACGAGCCTCGACGTGCTGGCACGAACACTGGCGACGCCCCACTATACGCTGAGTCCGCTCCGTCCCGGCAAGGTACCCCGTGTCTTTGCATTGTTAGGGGCATATGTGTCATAGGACGTCTGTGCTCGATTGCGGGCGTCCAACGTCATTGACAAGAAAGTGCGCACGTCCGAGTGGTCGCCGTGGTCGCCGACCGTCACGACGCTGCCGACAACGCCCAGCGCCGTCGCGCAGCCTCTTTTGCACCACCCGACATCGCACTCGATGCACGTAGCGTTCTCGGCGCCGTGCGACAACGGGTTTACGAATTTGTTGAACATTTGTGGACAAGTTGTCTTCGTTTTAGGCGACCGATAGAAGCATACCACGCGACACTGTGCGCGCAAGAGACGGCTTTCGGCGTCGTCTCGCACCGCTTGGTGCGGTCGTACGTCTGGCGCGATACAGCGACCTTTGCCATCGAGTTGGTCAAGCTCGACGCAGCGACGACGCATGTTGTCCGCATCGCCGCGGAGAACGTCCTCGGTGTCGGCGACTACAGCGCCTGGAGCTTGCCGTTGCGGACCAAGACGGCGGTCGTTCCTGCGCCTGTGCCCGAGGTCGCGCACCGCCTTGACCTATATGTTACTAGCCTTCTCATGTAGGCCCCGACGCTCGACGAGGTGCAGCCCACGTGCGCGCGCCTCAATTGGCAAGTGCCGGTGCACAATGGTGGCTCTCCGCTTGTCGGCTACGTTGTCGAGTATACCATCGATGGCGGCGAGCGCATCTCGCTGCGCGTGCCCCGCGTGAGTCTCGACTTGCGCCTCGACTTTCTCAAGCCCAAGACAAATTATGTGCTTCGCGTCGCCGCCATCAATGCGGTCGGGACCAGTCCGTTCTCAATCGACTCGACACCGCTCTTGACGCCGAGTCTCGTCGAGTACACGCTGCGCACCTACTTTGCCAACCGGCCCGACGAGGAGCACGTGGCGGCTCGGTGTCTCCAGGTACACAGTTTTTGACGTCGTTATTGTCGTACGCTTTGCGTAGCGTTGTTATCGGGCTTCGGCGGCGCGCCAGGCGGCCAAGCAAGCGCATGCTGCGTACCTCTCGGCGTGGCTACGGTCCTGGAACCTCCTGTAGCCGCCGCTGTTCAACTAAAGAAACACTATACGGACTCTCTCAGGCGCACATGTTCAAGCTAGGTGTGCAAACATGGAGGAGCAAAGGGTCGAAATTAATGGAGGGTGGGGTGTTTGAGGAATCGGAGGTCCTCCCGTAGGGAGGTCAGAAATTAGTGAAGCCGCATTGTTCGTAAGACGTCCACGGTAATCTTTAGTAAAAGGCGAAAGATTAGTACGAGTAAACGCTTTACTGCGGAATAATTGATCATTTGGATGTTTGGGCTATAGCTGCAAAAGAGGAGAAATCAAAACAAATCGATTGTTCACCACGTACTAGTACCAAATGAGGATGCCACGTGAAACGGCCGGTCGCAACCTGCTCGGTCGTTGCCGAAAGGAGCGCTGATCGCAACTCTGGCGTCCGAGCGTCTTTTGTCCACAACATTAGTGATCATGTATCTCTCGGTACAGCAATCTTCCGTCCTTGAGCAATCACTGGGACCATCCTCCCACACTCATGACGTGGCACCACCTTGAGCCGCCAACGAATCCATTGCGGTCCATGATTGGCTCGTTTCTGGTCGCATGAGATGCTCTCACGCAGATGATGCTTGGTTTATGCAGCCGACTTCAAATTGAACATCGGCCACACGCCGGCTAAGCAGCAGTGTCAACGCTTGACGTAGCATCGCCTAGGCTACCTTAACCAAGTTGGTCCTTGACCGATGCAGATCGACGCAGTAGAAGCCAAGATTCATTGAACGCGTCGAGCACAGCGTTTGGTCTGCCCTGCTCGAAATATGGTCCTTGCTGCCGGTGGGATGCGACTCGATGCGTCTTGCATTGCGCTCTTGCATCCACGTGCCATGTAGTATTATATGCAGTTACATATACTATCTCATGCCGCTAGTTGGTGCGGTCGTGGCCCGTCGGCGTCTCGACAAAGCTGTAGACGTTGCTGGCCGCGATCGACGCCTCGACGCGCGACGCAATCAGCTGCTGGCCGCCAAAGAGCGGCTGCAAGTAGCGCGAGTCGACGCTGTTCCACTTGGTCGCAACCTTCTTGGCGATCGACCCGTCCTCGGGCTCGATGAGCGCATCGTGCGCAGGGCGGCGCTGGCGCAGCTGGCTCGCCGCGTTATGCGTATCGTCGTCGATCGACTGGAGAAAGCTAAACGACGGCCGCGAGACGGGGCTGCCGGGCGCGGTCTCGGCGTTCGCATGCGGCTTGTGCCCGAGCGCGGCGAGGAGCGGGCCCGTGAGACCGCCGAGCACGAGCGTCGTGAAGACCACAATGATGAGCGTCGTCGACACGATCAGCGGGCGGTGCGAGTGGCCATCGGCGTCGACAAACGACCACGTCTTGACGAGCGCAAACGAGATCGCGCCGCGGAGACCCGCAAACCAAATCACAAACATGGTCGTGGGCGAGATGCGCTCGTGGGCGCGGCGCCAGATGTTCGAGACTGCGAGGAGCGGTACGATGTTGAGGAGCCGACTGAGCAGTAGGAAGCCCATCGTGAAGCCAATGAACGTCCAGTCAATGTCATGCCACGTCATCCCGTCGTCCGTGTGCCCGGCAAAGACAAAGACGAGCGACGTGCCCATGAAGACAAACACCAGCGTCTCGCAGACAAACGAAAACGTGTGGAGGAGGTGCCGGAACGACTGCTGCCCGGGCAGCGACAGCGTATGAAAGTGGTAGTGCGCCGTAAGGATGCCAGAGAAGAAGAGCGCGACGATGCCCGAGAGGTGGAGACTCTCGGCGGCGTAGTACGTGAGCAAGCTAAAGATCAAGCAGAGCGAGATCTCGTACGCGGGGAAGAGGTGGAGGCGGCTAAAGAGGGCGCGGTTCATGAGGAATGCACCGGCGAGCGTAATGGCCGCGCTCACGACGAGCGACCCGCCGAGCATTGCGAGCGTCGAGCCCAGCACCGAGCCCAGACCGGACGCCGAGAAGGTCGCGTCCGGCTTCCATTTGGAGAGCGTTTGGTACAAGGCAATCACGACCGCGTCGTTGAGGAGGCTTTCGCCAAAGACGATGTTGAAGAGGAGCGGCGGCGCGTTGAGCTTCTCAAAGCACGCAAGCGTCGCGACGGGGTCGACGGCCGAGATGAGCGCGCCAAAGAGGAACGACTCGATCCAGCTCAGAGGCGTGATGACGCCGTAGAGGCCGCCGACGTAAATGGCGCCGCCCGTGACGCCGGTCGCGATGAGTGTGCCCACGATGGCGGTCGACATGATCGCGCCGAGGTTCGAGAAGAAGTGGACGCGCTTGACCGAGAAGCCGGCTTCGTAGATGATGGGCGGCAACAGCACTTCGAAGAAGACGTTGTTGTTGAAGTTGAGGTGCTCGTCGTAGCTGTAGTTTTCGGCGACGACGAGGCAGCCGCCGGCAAAGACGCCAAAGAGGAGCGCGATCCCGCTCTGCGAGATGAAGGTTTGCGACGTTCCTTCGAGGAAGAAGGAGCCGATGACCAGGATCAGAAGAAACGAGAGGAGAAGGACTTCCATTTCTTCCACTCACACAGCATACAGGGCGATGGTCAGACTTGGCGGCGAGCGGACGACTAAGGCGAGCGTGGCAAGTGCGAGAATGACAGCGACCAGCCAGCCCCGCCAGCATTTCCCACACGTGAAGATCGAAGCTTTGCTATTTTCACAGTTTCACACGACTTGTCACCTGCCAAAATCAGCGTTGGTCTGCATTTCACACGTGTGGAAATTCCACCACGAGGGTTTCGGGCATTGAAGGTCGGCATGTCGCAGCGCCACCTGGCCCCGGCGGAAACGTGGACCGAGATAAGATCGCGGCGACGGCAGCAGCATGGCCGAGCAGTACCTGCGCTGCATGCGCCGCACTGTCCGCTATATAATGATGCCCATATTGATGCATGAATGCGCAGTCGTGGCGCAGAGACTGTAGTCACCACGTGGCACGTTGCCGAGTCATCTTGAAAGATCGGTCCGATGGAGGTATCGCACATGGATGCAAGAAGAGCGCTAGAAGCGCCCGCGCTCCAGAAGAAGGACGATGTCTTCCTTGGCGATGCGTGTGCATCCAAAGGAGCTTCGGGTGGCAAGCCTGAAGCGACGGGGCGATAGCATGGAGGACAAAGCTGGTACCCATCAGGACGCATCAATATGCCAGCTGGAGTGGACGTGCTGGAACGTGATGTGGCCGGCGTGGGCCAGCGAGACTCACGCCGCCTTGTTTGGAGGCGCCAAAGCTGGCTTGCCCGACGGGTTACTACTGCAAGCGCCACCCAGCTCACCTTGTATGCGAGATGCAGGCGCAGATGCGATGCTTCGTCGGTCGAGATACGCTCCAGTCTCAGAACCACATTGCAGTTGGGCAAAGCCGCCTTTCCCATACAAACATCCAATCAAGCAAAAATATTCTAGTGAAATCAACTGGACTGATTCGACGACGACTCGGCAGTGTGTTCAGCGAGCACGGCGGCGACATCGTCGTCCTGGAGCGCCAGCGCGAGGTCCAGTGCGGTCTCGCCTTCGTTGCCAAGAATGCCAGCGTCGAGGCCGTTGGCCAAGAGAAGGGCCACGAGGTCCGGGTTCGAGCACCCAAACGCGGCCGTGTAGCCTTGCTCGTTCACCGCGTTGATGTGGAGGCCGTCCTTGGCGAGGAGCTTCGAGACGAGCTCGACATTGTCGTAGCACACGGCGATGTGCAGCGCCGTGTCGCCCGTCTCGGGCACGTGCGCGTTAATGTCGAGGGCCTCGTGCGTGAGCAGGAAGGTCGCAATGTCGTCCTTGCCATGGCATGCGAACGTCAGCGGCGTGTGCTGTTCGACGTCGGCGTCTTCGTCGTCGACGTTCTTGTACGCAAACGTCGCGTTGATCGTCTCCGGCGTCACGAGCAACTGGACAACGTCGACGTGGCACGCGTCGATCGCGCGGGCGAGAGCATGCATGCCATCGGTCTGGTGGTGCTGGCGCACGTTGCGATCGGCGCCGGCGGCCAGGAGCGCGTTCACGAAGCTCAGCGACCCGCAGTTGGCCGCTTGCATGAGCAGCGTCCAGCCAAGGTCGTCCATCGCGTCCACTTGGTCCGGGCATTGGGCGACAAGGGCGAGTGCGAGCTTCTCAAAGCCGGCGAGGATCTCTTGCGCTTCGACGTCCATCTCCTTCATTTCGGCCGCGTGGTCCTCGAGGTCCTCATTGTCCTCGGCCGATTCAAGGTACGTTGTGAGTGACTCCATGACGCACTGGAACTCTTGCTGCCATTTGTGCAACCAGTTCATGAGGGCAACCAAGCTCTCGGCCGGCGATGCGGGCGCCAAGGCCGTGCGCAGCTGGTCCAAGTCGCCCGACTTGACGACCTCCAGGAGCAGCGCGCCAAGGCCATCGTCTTCGGCATCACCTTGGGCACCTGCAGCCATGAGGTGCTCGACAAGCACGTCCGACGGCTTGAGTTCCTCCGCGCCCTTGGCCATCGTGTCAACAATGGCTGTGCGACGGCCAATCACGGCGCAGTCCTCCGGATAACAACAGACTAAAAACACCCTGTTTCTCGTCCTCCACCATGCACTTCAACCTTGCCCACGCACGCAATAATGCGCTTCAACAGCGCGCACGTGAGCTAGCATTCCACGCTATAGCCTAAATCATCGTCGAATGGATCTCGTGGTAGCACGAGTTGTCGAGAAGCGCATCGATTTCCTCCGCGACGTGGAGGTCCTGCGACAACGCGCCTGCAAAACTGCGATCGAGAGGGCATGTAACACACAACATTACCTGTTCAGCACCACAGCTCGCACATCGTGGTACGAGAAGAGTCATCTTGACTCGATCCCACATAGGCGTTGCTCTCGTGGGCGATGTGCGCCAGAGCCAAAGACGCCGATCTAAAGTTGCGTGTTCGTAGACTTGATTGATACGGCGTGTGATTGGCGGATTGGGACGAGCGACCGGGCGTGTATCCGGATTTGGATTTTTATTTGCGCTTTATTTTTTTGCATTTTTTTGTATTTTATTGCGACCATGTCCCGCAAGGTCCACAACGCGGTGGCCCATGCGCTCAACCCGAACGAGTCGCTGCAGAAGATCCTCGCTGAGGTCGAGCCGCGCTTCGTGCTGCAGCCGGGCGTCGAGGAGCTGCTGCTGGACATGGCCTCGGACTTTGTCGCGAGCGTGACCGAGGCCAGCGGCCGCCTCGCCAAGCACCGCCGGTCCACGCACGTCGAGGGCAAGGACGTCCAGCTCGTGCTCGACAAGAACTATGGCATCTCGGTCGCGGCCAAGAAGAAGCTCCACGTGCTGTCGCAGAAGGCCAAGCCGGCCAAGACGTCGGTGCACACGCACCGCATTGCGATGAAGCGCAAGGTCCTCGCTGCGCTCCAGACGCAGCGCAAGAAGGCCAAGCACTAATCCATCATGCATCTCCTCCTCTCCTTCATCCTCGTCTCGCATCCCGTTGCCGACCTCCGCACTTTGAAACACACAAACACGATTTTAGATTAGGTGGGCCGTATTGAGCTGGTGCATGTGATGCATGTAGTCGGCGTTCACTTGCTGAAGCGTCTGCTGCGCATGATGCGGGCCCGGGTGGTACACGACCTCCATGCCATGGTGGTGGTTTGGCATGCCGAGCGTGCCCATGGCCATGGCCGACATCATTTCTTGGTCGTCGTCCAAGCACGACGCGATCGCCGCCGTCTCGTTGCTCGGGCTCTTCTTCTTCCGGGGTTTCTTAACCGCTTTGGTTTTCACCTCGGCCAGCACGGGCAGCAGCGTCTCGTCCTTTGCAAGGTCGTTCTCGAGCGGGATCTCAATCCGCATCTTGTGGAACACCATGGCGTACGTACTCGCCTTGTAGATCGGGTCGAACGCGTTGACGACGAGGCCCTCGCGGCCAAAGTGGCGCGCGGCCGCGATAAAGTGCCGGCACGGAATGCCCACTTGGAGCATGAGCCCGCACGAGCACGAGAGGTCCGAGAGGTGCACGCGGTGCGTCACTTTGGGGCGCGACCCCGTCTTCCACACGAACGCCAACGTCTCGTCGCACGGCCGCGTCGTGAAGCCAAGGGCTTCGTGCATCTCGCACGCATACAGCTCTTGCGCGCCGGGCGTCAAGACTGCGTTCTCGGTCGCGAGCTTGGCGGCGGTCTGGCTCTTTTGGAAGACGTTGTCCATGAGGCGCGCGAGGTAGCTGTAGAGGATATCGAACGGCGCCTCGTCGACGCTTTCGCTGCTTGGACCGTGGAGCTCCGAGTTGAACGACGTGGTCGACCACTGGTAGAGTTTTGTGTGGCGGTTTGCGTGCATCGCCCAATGCAGCGGGTTCTGGCTCCGCAAGAAGAGTGCAGCCGCGGGGTTGACGCTCTCGAGCTGCGAGAGCGCGGCCTGGAAACCTTGCTCGGTCTCTTGCCGATGCAAATCCCAAATCAGGAGCTCGACGGCGCCGAGCTTGGCGATGTGCTTGTCGTTGCCCATGCACTCGAAGAGGCTGCTCATGCAGTACTGGACCTTGGCGCCCGTCGCTTCGATCGCGTCGGCAATCCCTGCGTGTGTGATGGGCACAAAGATCGGCAAGTGCGCCAGCGAAATGCCTTGCTGAATCCGCTGCAGAAACCACGATGCGTGCTCGAGAGTCGGCGCCGGGACAAGCCCGACCGCGAGCACGTGCGACTGGAGGTTCCCGTCGCGGCCAAGCAAAAGCAGCATCGCGCCGCTGTACTCGGGCCGACAGAAGGGCACGACGTCGATCCCGAGGATGCGCTGGAGCGCCGGCATGGCCTGCAGCGACGCGTGCGGCATGACAAACGCGCGGACAAAGTGGTGGTCACCGTCGCGGTCGTAGTCGGCGATCGAGCCCGGGTTCTTGGCGACAAACATGGTCAAGAGCGAGGGCAGGAACTTGTACGACTCGACCACATCGTCTTTCGAGTGCACGACGATCATCTGCTTGGCGCGGTACGCTAGCCGCAGCGGGATCTTGATGCCATCTTCGGTCGACGAGAGGAACTCGTCGGTGAGGAGTTTCCCGTGCTGCTTGCCGTGGGTCACGACGGCTTGGCGGAACGACGCCATCTCGGCGAGCTGCCGCGCCGACGGCTGCGCGACGCCCGTGCACGCCGGCGCGTGCGTGAGGTTCATGGACGAGATCTTCCAGCTCTCGGTCTTGGGCGCTTTGAGGAGGCGCACGTACCAGTCGCAGGCCTCGGACGAGCAGACGTACTTTTTGTTGCGCCCGCCGCTGGTCTTCTTGTCCATGCGCGCCCGCTTCTTTTGCACAAAGAACGCATAGTCGTTCACGGACCGCGACGCGTCCTTTGCGCTAAACCAGCGCATCTCGTGCGTAAGCGCAAACGTCGGGCGGCCGCCGAGCGCGTCGGCGTGCGCAATCATGGGCGTCGTCGCGCCGGGCAACGACGGCTTCTTGGGCGCAAAGCTCGGCGTCATCATGGGCACAAACGGCGCCGGCGGCGCGACCGCGTCGACGTCGATCGCTTTCTTCTGGCGGGTCAGATCGCAGCTCGACGAGTGCAGCGGGTCGAGAACGACAAACTTCCAGGCGTCGCCGTGCGGCAGAATGTCCATCTTCCAGTTGCAGAAGCGCGCGCGCTGGCGGCAGACGAGGCGCTTCGCATGCGCCTGCTTGAAGGTCCGGTCGACCATGACCTCGGTCGATGGGAACTTGGCCGACGCATACTCCTTGGCGGCCTTGGTCGCCGCGGCGAGGCTTGGATAAGTCCGGTCAGCATCCATGCAGAACCCCCTCTTTTGACGCAAACCCACGAGTGAATGGAAGTCGGGCCCCCTTTTTGAACAAATTGGCCACCTCTTCAACTTATAAATATCAACTGTTAGAGGTTGACGCAGATGGCGATCTTCAACCGGCGCCGATGGCAGGCGGCGCGTTGCTCGGGCCAAGCGCCGACCCTTGCGTCGAAGACCAGCATGACCTTCGATAGCCCTTATCAGTTAATACATTCGAGTGCACACTATGAGAATACTCCAGAGATGGTCGATCGACGCGTGGTCCAGTTGTGGGACCGTTTTCGATATTTCGAAAAGGTCATCGTTCATGCCAACCAAGCAGCGACCGTTGTCCGCAGGCGGCAGTCGCCCTAGCAGCACGCGCAGCCACGGCTCGCCGCGCGAGCGCCGCCTCTCGTCCGTCGCTTATGCGTCGGCGTGGCCCACGACGTTTCACGAAGGTGTCACCGTCCGGTACATTCATGCATCCTTCTGCAGCTGGCTCGACTCCTCGACTTGACATAGCGCATACTCGCCCGACTTTCGCGCACTCCTTCGCCGATCGCCGCAGCTTCCCAATGAATCGTCGCCGCTGCTCCTTACGCCACGGGACGTTGGCGACTGCAGTAGCTTTTGGGGTGCGACGCTCAACGTCATCAACGTGCTCATGGGCGTCGGCGTGCTCTCGCTACCCTACTCGATGCGCGTCGCGGGGCTCACGCTCGGCCTTGGTCTTTTACTTGGCATGGGCATTATTGCCAATCTGACGGGCCACCTCCTCGGCGCGTGCTTGGCGTCGGACGCACGCCTTCGTGTACATACTAACTATCATCTCGCCAGTACGCCCGACCATGATGGCGTATGGACTAGTCGTACCCGGACATTGTCAACGCTGCGTTTGGTCTATGGGGCCGTCGCGTCGTGTCGATGATCTGCTTTGTCGAGCTCTTCATTGCGTGCACCATGTTTCTCATTCTCGGTCACTCGTCTTGCGATCTTCTTTGGCAACTAACGTTATGCGTAGTCACCGACAGCCTGCACATGCTCTTTCCGGCCATGGCGCCGTCGGCGCTCTTGGTGATCGTCTGTGCATGCATTTTGCCGTCGACGTGGCTGCTCAACTTGGCCGTCCTCTCGACCGCAAGCCTCCTCGGCGTGCTCTCGTCGCTTGCGCTCCTCCTCCTTCTGCTCAACGTCGGCCTCACGACGCCTCCTGGCGAGCTCGGCAGTATCTACCGCGACGCGCCAACGCGCTGGGTTGCCGACGACGACGCGTGGGCGCTGAGCATTGGGCTCACCCTCGTAGGACTTGAGATTTCGATGCAATTCGCATCATGATGTAGGTCGGGTTTGCTGGCCACGCCGTCTTTCCGTCCATTTACTCGACGATGGACGACCCAGCGCAGTACAGCAGCGTTCTCAACGTCGCGTACACTGTGATTGGCGCCGTCTACGCAGCTGTCGCCGTTGCGGGCTACGTCATGTACGGCGATGCCACCGAGAAAGAGGTTGAGCGCTCTGTGTCACTGACATAAGTCTCGAAGACGACCGTAGATTACGCTGAGTCTCTTGACGCACAACCCGGGCGGCGCGGCGAACGCCGTCATGTGGATGATCGCGCTGAACCCGTGCACCAAGTTTGCCATGTACCTTGCTTGCTGCAAACGAGTGAACAAAGTACTATGGAGTTGTAGCGTACTGCACCCTATCGCACTCTCGCTCGAAGAGCTTCTCGCGCCGTTAACGCACGCGGTGTCGCCACGAACGCGGTATCTCCAGCGCTGCAGTGTTCGCACGGCGTTGGCGCTCTGCATCGCCATTACCGCGCTCCTGGTCCCCAACTTTGTCCAGATGACGTCGCTTCTAGGTATATCAACTACACGTTAGTCGCTCGCTATCGCAATGCTAGGGGCGGTGTTTGCGATGGCCGTCGTCGTCGTCATTCCGTGCGCTTGCTACCTCAAGCTCTTTTACAGCATGCTGCACTGGAGCTCGGTGCTGGGTCTTCTGAGCCTCGTCGCGATCAGCTGTGCACTCGGATTCGTCGGCGCCTTGGCCGCTGGACGGCACCCGTCGACGAGCTAAGCGAACCTTCCGCTACCTCGACTACGGTGTTGACAGCGCCAAAGACAAACCCATTTTCTGGCCTCTGGCTGGAGCCAACCAAAGAGCGAAGCTGTTCCCTTCTCATAAGCGCATCTAGTAGTTGATATCTGGAGGATGTTGAGTTGATACCGAGGGGTATCGTAGTGGCACTGGGTCACGTTGCTGGTTGATCGACATGGGATGAATCCGGAATTCACAACTGAGAATTTACGCTGACAGCACTGGACGCGATAGCTTTTTACATCGGATTCTATAACCTAACTCTCCATGCTCACATTCCAAATACGCACCGTGCCGTCCCAGGACGACGACACGAGGTTGGGGCCGACGCTGTCGCGCACGCCGAGGCCCGTGATGCCCGAGACGTGGCCTTCGAGCACTTGGTTGCACGCGCCCGTGTGCGTGTTCCACACTCGAAGCGACCCGTCTTCGCTGCCGGAAATGACTTTGGTAAAGTCGCGCTGAAGCACCGTGACGCGCCCCGTGTGCCCCGAGAGCTCGAGCCGCGCGCCCCGGCCCGTTGCGCGGAGATCCCACACCTTGACTGTGCCGTCGGCCGACCCCGAGCAAATGGTCGGATCGGCGGGTCCCCCGAGCGCGATGCAGGTCACGGGCGCGCTGTGCCCCAAGAGCACGTGCGTGCAGCTCTGGCCAGATCGGAAGCGGACGTCCCAGACCTTGAGCGTCCGGTCGTTCGCGGCGCTCACGAGCCTATCGCCGGCCAATTGAAGGTCCGTGAGGCCGCCGCGGTGCGCGGCAAAGTGCGCCTTCTTGCGACCCGCGGCCGCGTCCCACACGTCCACGTCGCCGCTTGCGTCGCCAGAGACGAGCGTCGTCGAGCCGGTAAGAAACTTGAGACACGCAATGGGCGCCGAGTGCGACAGATGCGCGCTCGATGCGTCCTTGCTGGAGTCCCAAATGCGAATCGACTTGTCCAAGGCGCCGGACGCGAGGCAATAGCGCGACGTCCCGAGCTGCCGTCCAACGTCGAGCGCTGCAATTGGCATCGTATGGCCCTTGAGCGTCTTTGGCCGGTACTCGTCAAACGGACTCGGGGTTGCAATCAACGCGTCGGTCGTCGGCGACAGAAAGCGAAAGAGCGACGGCTTGCGAGACAATGACGACGACGGCGACGACGTGTGCAGATCCCACACACGCAAGGTGCCGTCCAGCGAGCCCGAGATGACCATATCGCCTCGGACTTGGACGTTTGTGAGCGCTCCGACATGCCCTTGCAAGCGCGTGTTCGTGGCGGCCGAGTGCACGGCGACCGTCGAATCCAAGCATCCGGCCGCGATACGATCGCGGTACACACTGAGGCAGAGCACAGGACTCTGCGTCTGGAGCAATATCGTGTTTGGGTCGTTCTCGTTTTCGTCGTTCGACTCGGGCGGCAGCGACGACTTGGACGACGACGCGAGTGTTGTTGTGGAAATCCGCCGACGAATGACGCTGTCGAGCTCGTAGTTGGCGTCCGTCGAGGACGGCGCGAGCGCCCACGACGCATGGGCCGTCGATGACGCGACGCTGTCACTCGAGAGCACGATCGCGCGGTGGAGGTTCTCGACCAGCTGCGACAATGTGTCTTGGACTTCTTTGCCGCGGTTGTACGTCGAGCACATGCCAGCGACGAAGAGTTGAACCTTCCCGAGCGCATTGTCCAAGTTGAGCATGTCGTAGACCAGCGAGCCCATCTGCGAGAAGAACATGTCGTCCGAAATGTCGGCCGTCGCGTCCGTGTGGGGCTCGATGGTCTCCGACTTGAGCGCAGCTTCAATGTCGCGACTAGACCCAGGTGCAAATCAACTTGTAGCAAGTTGAAAATGCAAAATATACCTCAAGGCGTGGTGCCACATGTCCAAGGACCGACAAATCGGCTGCGCTTTGAGGGATTTCTGGAGGTACTCGCGCGGTGCTGCTTGTGCCATGAGACAAAATTCCCACTGACTGACGAGAACGTACCGCCAAAGCCAGGCACGCGCGGCGGCTTGGACGCCACTCCATCGTCGACGAGCCGATAAAACTGTGCCGAGACTTGAAGAAGACCCCTTGCGTTGGTGTAGTCTTCGTGGATTTCGCAATCTTGGAGGACCTGGGTGGCCAGCGTCACGAGGAGCTTGAAGCCGGCGTCGCCGAGGCAGCTACCGGACCCGCGCGGGTTGTACACGCCGGACGCTTGCTCGGACCGGTGGTGCGGCTGCATCAAAATAAGAACAAAGAGCTCCCGCGCGTACGGCGCTTTGAACGACCGCTGGCATGCCCGGCACTCGTCGTCCGAGAGCAATTCCGACGAAAAGACCGACACGAGGCACTTGTGGATGCTCTCCTGGACCGTCTCCTCTTCGGACGAGAGCTCGCGCGTCGACGTCGGGGCGTGCGACGGTGGCGCAAAGTGGGAGAAATGGTCCATGATCTTTGTCCAGTTGGCCTCAAAGAGCGACCGGTCGATGTTGAGTGTATCGGCAATCTTCTCGTATGTCCAGACATTCGAACTGCTCCGTGGTGTACCCAGCGCAGGCTTGAGCTTGAGCTGCTCGAGAATACTTAAGTCGGAGGCTTGGATGCTGCTGGTGACGTCGCGCATCGTCCACGTCTCGTTGTCCCGCGGCGGATACAGCGACACGTGCAGCAGCGGTGTCTCGGGCACCGGTGTCGGTGTCGATGACGCCGGTTCGTCAAGCCATGTGATCTCGTCGGTTTGGCTCAGCGTCAAATAAATAGCGTGGAAAGCGTGGAGCCGGCTACCACTGTGGTTTTCCAAAAACGACTCGAACGCCTACGCTGCCGTGTTGAGATGGAATCGCCAACCACCAAGTCGAACCTGCGTGCTCAAAAGGCGCGTCACAAACGGTGTGCGCTCGGGTGAGACCGTCGTCGTCAAGAACCGCCGCTTGTTGAACACTGGGAAGCTCGAGTCGACAAAAAAGAGGCAGTCCCGGTACCTACAAGCATATCATCAGCAACCTCATACCTACATAGAGCACAAGAAACCCTTGGATCATCGAGGTGAGGTAGCACGCAAAGCTGAGACGCACTCGGTGCTCGAGGCTCGCATTCCATAGCGGCGCCGACACCAAGGGCTTGAGGCGGCGGTACAAGGCCTTTGTGAGCGTCGCCGGCAGCGGCGGCAAACTCGCTTCGTGGCTAATGTTGAGCGTGCCGCGGTCAACATCGACGAGGACGAGGTTGTCGGGTCGCCCCGACTCGAAGAGCCCCGGAAGCCACGACGTCTGGACGCCGAGAATGTAGGGCAGCGGCGCCTGGAGGTACTCGGAGAGGATACGCGGCAGCATCGGGACGTACGGATGTTGCCATCGAAACGGGTACAAGAGCGCCTTGAGGCTCTCGGTGACGGGGCAAAGGAGCGACAAATGGCTTGAATGCACGACGATGCGGTACTCGCAGAGCGCGAGGACGACGAGCCGGATCGCTGTGTGCAGAGAAAAGACGCGAAAGAACGTCTCGAGCGAGTAGAGCGCGGGCGGCAGCGCGTACTTGAGGCCATGCATGTCGGCGTGTCGGAGCGAGAACGCCACGGGCGCCCCCGGCACGATCGCAACCGCAACGTCCAAGAGCGCAGCGACGGGTAGCGGGAGGCGGCGCGTGAGCTGGTCGACAACGTGGCCACCGAGGCGAGCGATCGTCGGGTCCGGATTCAAGTAAACACTCACGAGCTGGAGGAGGGACATGTGGAGCGACGGGAGGAGCGGGAGGCGGCTCAAGAAGCAAACGCACGTCGGCTCCCACTGCCGCGCGCCGTTCGACGTCGGTGGCACGCCCATCTTGATGTGGTGCACGATGACGCACACGCCGTAACAGCGCGAGAGCCCGTCTTGGCCGCCAATGAGCGCAAACGAAAAGACAGTAGCCGGCGGCTTGGTCGTCGACCGCGCCACTTCGTAGCCGCCAGGAAAGCAAAACCACTCGATCTTTGTCGGCAGCGGAAAGTCCTTCCGGTCGTCTTTGGGCGACCGCGAGAGCACGACGTGTTCGTCGTTGGCATCCGGCCCGACAAAGAGCACATAGTCGACGATGCCTGTGGGAAGCACATGGTCTTGGGTCGGCTGGGGCGACTCGACGAATGGCGGGCTCTCTTCCGGCTCGGCAGCATTGCTCTTGGCGCGTTGACGGTCGTTGATGGGCGAGTGCATCGCTGGCAGTGATGAGAGCGCCGGCGAAAACTTGAGCGCAACGCGAACCGCGGCCCGAGACCCAGAGAACGAGTACCACTGCTCGATCTCGTCGTGCTCGGGAAGGCGCGAGAGCGGAATGCACACTAATTGTAGACGAAGCGGAAGGCTCGTGTGTCGTCGGTCGTGAGAGGGTGGTACCTTTGCCAAAGCACGCGGGATGGTCGTCCCAGGCATCGACCGCGATCGACTTGTGTGGCGTGCTCTTGAGTCGGTTGACGCCGTAGAGCATGAGCACGTCGTCGGACGACGCCGACTCGACGGCAAAGTCCTGTAAGAAGAAGGGTCAGGCACGGCCATGGCAGCGTGAGCGTACCTCGTGCCACGTGTCTTGCGCCGACAGGAGGCTGCTCGTCGTAAACTCGAGGACAGGGTCTTGGCCGATCTGAAGCACAATGCACACGCAAGCTGTCGACGCGACGCGGGCCTCGACTGGCCGCTTCATGCCCAGCGACGCCCGGCGGATCGACTTCATGATGCCCGTCGTGTTGGCCGCCGGCTCGGAGGGCGCCTCGAACGATGGCAGGCCAAAGTCGGAGCCTTCGAGCACTAGGAACATGCGGTGAGTGCTCGGAAGTATGGCGTGGCGTACCGCGGATCGTGAGGCGGCCATGAGCGCTGGACGTGGCGACGAGGGCCGACTGCTTGGGTAGCGTCGGCGACGTGAGTACGCGCGGACTCTCGGCCTCGACGACCGGCAGGCTTCTCGACGTCGAGATGCGCAGACCCGTCTTCTCCATCTTCGTCGATGGCATCCACGGCGCCGACGACGTCCGACGTGACAGAGCTGAATATTTTTTTACATCCAACGTGAGAACCACGGCCAGCATACATTGTTCTTGATATACAATAAAGCCGACTCGGAAATCGTTTCAGCCGGGTTCGTTTCATCATGCAGCATGCTCCCGAGGAAGCCATCTCCATCGAGGTAGACGACCGTCCATGCGTGGTCGCTCGACGCCGAGGTAGACGATGCGGCAGCATGGAGGAAGAGGAGAGGCAAGACGATGCGACAGGGACGGGTCGCGTCTATTACACGCTACGACATGCGCGAGTGGAGCTTGACGAGGCCCGACTCGTCGACGTCGGTCGGGATGATCTGCTTCTTGTACGCATACTCATCGGATGCGATCGCCTTGGTCGCGAGCTCCATGGCGTCGGCGACGTAGATGAGCCCGTCGCCCCGGACCTCAACAAGATGCGTCCGCTGCTTGACGCCCTTGCTCTTGAGGACGGGGTCGCCCCGCATGTTGGCCGCGTCGAGGCCCATGTAAAGACCTTCGCCGTTCTCGAGCGCGATCTTGTAGTTGTGCCATGGACACGAGATGGCGACCTTGCCGCCAATCTCTTCAATGTCGCCCGTGAGGAGTGGCCCGCCATGGTGGTAGCATGCTTGGTCGATGCAGTAGAGCACGTGCGCATGGTGGACGAGGAGGACGGTCCGGCCGGTCGGGAGCACGATGCACCTCCGGGCGCCGTTCGGGACGTCGGTGGCCGCGCAGACGGCGTGGTACTCGGCCATGTGCGAGGTTCAACGCCAAATTGCCACTGATTGTATTATAATACCCGTTGTTTGTTATTTCACTTGATATTGGTATGGAATAGCCGAAGTCGGAGAAAAATGACGACTTCGCGCCAAAATGCAAAAATGGACCTGAGTATCCCGTTGTCGAATACATGGCGTCGATGAAGCGGTTTCTCTCTCCATCGACGCCGCGCTCAAGCGCTTGAAGGGTTGGCTCCGACAAGTGGAACTCGATCTCGCTCTTGGGATTGCCGTAAAAAATGCGCAAGCTGCCGCCAGAGTCGGCGCACCGCTCGTCAAAGTTGCCGAGGTACTTTGGGTCGCACTGAGCAAAGTGTTTGAGAGCCTTCTTGAATCACTTTGGGACGACGACGAGGATACGCTTGTCGAATTCCTTGTTCTGGTACTGGGCAAAAGACGCCAGCAGGTCGCACTCCCGCAAAGCAGTGTCTCTGACTTCTTGCTACATGGACCCGTCGGCGATGACGAAGCCCTTTTTGCCGACTCGTGCTTGAACGGTCGTGTGAGCTTCGCGAGCGCGTGCTTTCGCAGACGACGTTGTTGCCACGGAAGAAAATGACAACGTGGCTCGACTCTACGTGCCAGGGTTTCGCGCGAGATGATGACGTAGCGAGCGTCGTGCACGGCCAGGTACGCGCCGAGAAGAACGCAGTGACAGACTTGCCGACGCCAGGCGACCCCAAAAGCGCCATCGGCGCGCAGCGAGTTCGTGCTGCAGCCGCTGCATGGGCCACGACGGGGAACTTGCCATCGGGCAAAGTGCTTTCACACGCAGTGGACTTGGTATGTACAGTACTTCATCCGGAGGCCATGCGCGACTGTTCCGTCGCCGGCGTCCTATGGGGAGGCCGGTGCGCGTCGACGAGAAGAGAGATGAGAACGGAGGATTCACCAAGCTTACCGAAAATTTGAGCGAGGATCTGGGTTGCTAACGCGTGGGGGATCATGGTGTTGATGCTTCTAAAGCTCAAACCCAGAACTTATGCACGCTGGAGCCGACAAATTATGTACTTTGCACAGCTTGGGCCGACTCTCGCTGCAGCTATGTGGAGTAGCGCGCGAGGTATTTCGTGCAAGGACCGAGCCGCACCATTTCATCACCTACTTGCAAGGCGCGCGGAAGCAGATTGTTCAAATTCAACGAAAATATATGCTGGATCAGCGCTGTTGCTAGCACTGTCGTGGTGATCGTTAAGGCCAGAGCCCATGGCAGCTCATGCTGGCCGTGCGCAAGATCGGAAGTGCCGGATAAACGTTTCAGCGCGCTTTTGATTGGTCACTACCGAAATGCAAAAGCCAATCAGAGCGCCGAATACCGGGGTCGACAACCAGTTTCATCATGCATGTCCTGTGTGGCTACACGAAACGGCATCACAAGCATACAAGCTGCAAGATTAAAGTGTAGCAGGTCGTCGGTCGAGCTGAAAATAGCCTTCGCATTCCGTACTTTCGAAAGTTGCTTGGAATGCGGTGCTTTGAGACACCACTGGGACTCCAACTTGGAAATATCGCTATCGAGCACATCACGTAACCTTAGCCGGCATGACCAGCATGAGGCGGTACTTGTGGTTCTGGAGCTTTGTGTTGCGCTTGACTGCTGC